AACTTCTTCCCCGRCACTGCTGATCTTACACTTACGCCTACTCTAGCCCCACTGCATAATAATAAAAAAAGGTTAATTTTAGTCCGGCATTGGAGGGCAGCACAGCTTTCTGAGTCATGCTAGCAGTTGCATGTCTTCCTTTGGCAAGAGGACTTCTTTATGGACATGTCAGTGGGGCAATCGCAGTCAAAACGGCTTGTGGATGAATCACCAGGCTGGGGTTGACCAATGTGTTGCCACGCGGAGTTACTGTGACTTGGCAARCCCTCCTCCTAGTTCTTTCTCTGCCAGCAGATCACCATCCAACCAGCAAGGGAAAAGATGCTGACTCCTTAACCATACAGTAACAGTTTCATGTTGCTTCATCCCAAAGCACTGCGCTTCTCCAACCCACATTTTGCACCTCAGACTAGACCTTTCGTAACTATAATGTCAGTGAATCTTTTCCAGCTACGTGTCTACTTTCTCGACCACTTTCTTCTGCACTCTGCTTCTATAAATTCCTCTGGGGTTCTGGATAGCTAGGATTTGGGGCTGTTTAATAAACAAAATGTCACCTCTTATGGCTTTCTTGGCTAGAAGCACACTCTTCCAAGCCAAATGCCACCTCCCTGCCATCCAGAAGATGCTCGAGATGATTCAAAGGTCTCTCACACTGGTCTTTGGTAGCATTTGCAAGGCTATTTCTACCACAAYCCTGTTTCCAAGCACAAGTGAGGACACGTTCACTAGAGGTTGTCCCTAGAGACAAACACCACGCAGAGTTTGTGGCTAGAAGTCGTATTTAAGACATACCAACATTGCACTGTTACGGAATTTTGCATTTGCTTTATCGTTTTTACAAATATCCTCTAAAAAAATCTTACTTCAGATGAGACAAAACAACCCAGTTAGAAGCTGGAGTCTCGATGGGAGGAGACAAGGGAAGAGAGGCAGGGATCTTATTTTTCAGCAGTTCCTTGCCTGCAGACTGTGATGAAATGGCCAGTATTTCCGACTCAGCCAGAATKAGAAATCCCTTTTTCTAAGCCCTACTGGAAACAATTTGAAATCAGGGKTTTTTTTCAGACATAAGAGGTGAACAAATGAGTCTTCCTTCCTCAGGGAGCCTAGAGGTGCTCAAGTTGAAAACGAAGGACACGTGGAGAAACTCACTGCACGACACCACTGAAAAGCTGGCTACAGAACCAGCCCTTTCTTCCAGGGTCTATTTTCACTTACTGTCTCCCCAAAAGGATTTACCACACAACTGGAAAGATCTCTCCTTTAAAACCATTGGCTTCAGATCCACCACAGCAAGTCAAGAATCCAAGTCCAAAGCACTTCTCCCAGCTACAGTTTGGAAGTACCTTACGAGCACTGCTTGGAGGTTTTATTCAGCCACCCTAGTCTGAGACTGGGGCAATATAACTTTCATAGATATCTACCTGCTGCCCTCATTAAAGTCAATAACACAAGGACAACTTGAGGTCACAGTCTTAAGCTTTTTCCCTCCCAGTAGATAATGACTTCACTGCACCTGCTGGATACTTGTCCAGAAGGGAGTATATCCCCAATATAGGAATAAGGAAGTGTGTTCAGTAACCACGAAATAACGAAACGCTGCAAGATTTGGATCCCTCCTGTCCTCTCCAGTAAGCAAGACTCAGCTCTCTGGATAAAACCGAAACAAATAATAAAGGAAAAACCAAAAACAAACAAAAACAAGCAAAAAAGAACCAAACCAAAAAGGGGGAAGCCATAATCATGACTTCCAAGAAGGTGTCATTTCTTGTGAAGCAGTTATGAGAYGTTTCATGGGACCCAAAAGAGGATTACAAAGGTTTAAGGCTCCACCTCAACCGTAAGTAGACCATGAGGACAGGGAGGCTTCGGAACAGAAAGCGTATTATATTTTCTGTTCTTCCACAAGGAGGGAAAGACAAGAGGAAGAGCCAGACCTCTACTCAGTTTTCTCTATATAACAGTACTTACTATTGCAGAGGCTCAGCAGAAGGCACCGCACCAAGACCTGTTCTGCCAAGGCAACATTTAGAGCACTAGCAAAGGAAACTCACRAAATACCTAATTTGACAATTGCATTAAAAATTCAGGTACACAAAAAGAGGCAACTCAGTCTTGATTTTCCTTCTTTCTGCCCCATAAACTTGAGGAAAAACTTAAAAATCGTCCACCTAACACAGGGCTACAGACTCCCATTAGAAACAAACAAACAAAAAAACACACAAAGGAAACGAGAGGAAGAAAACTACTGAAAACAGTTTGCTTTATTTCCAGGATCAAATATTACAATAGGACATTTACATATATTTATATAAAAAAAAAATGCAGCAGTTGTGTATATAGATCAGAGGTTTCCTTGAGTTTGGTCCCTCCCAGCACAGTGAGCTGAAATCTTCCAAGTTAATTCTCTCCCTCCTCCCACATAGAGTTGCATCTTTGAAGGAAAAAAAGTCACTACTGTAAAAACTGATGGGCAAAGTAATAATTACGAATCTGTAAGTTCACCAAACAGAGAAAACGGACTCATTAAAAATAATATATACAGAGAATATTTATATATTCTATAGTCTGGTGTCTCCAATTAGGCACCATCCTTGTGAGCTGAGTTTTCCCCCAATTTTCTTTGCATAAAGCTGTTCTATAAAATAGCACCTCGCTCCTTTCCCCATGTATTTTTACTGTCCATCCTTCTATAGTTTGAAATTTCAGCACCGTTGAACAAGCTCCTACAGAACTGCAGACGCTCACAGTAGTTCAGGACAGTGACCACATCTAAACTTTCTCAAATACCGTTAATCTAATGACATAAAAAAAAAAAAAAACAAGTTTCTGAGGCAACTTGAGGCACTGATGTTAAGTGCTACATCGTCCGATTAAAAATATATATGTTTATATGTATATATGGCTATATTTGCTGGGGATAGACAGACATGGAGCATCTCATGGCCAAGAAGAGGTTGGAATCARAGTCATCCTGTACAACATGGCCAAGTAGGTACCCATTAACCTCGTGGTTCAGGAGCAAAGAGCAGACTCTAACCAAACTACAGTGAGATCTCGCACTCAGAGAAAAGCTTTACAGGATAATCCGTACAGACCAAGAGGCCTCGACAGCCAAGGACCAAGAAAAGCTCAGTCAACCCAARCTACGGGGAAATTTTGACAATATAAATGGCTGATATAGGGGTTGAAACATGCCTTGGTATTTCTTTTTGGTTTACCTTTAAAAAAAGTGGATTTTTTTCCCATTTAGTGGACATAATTTCTGCATAACATAAGGAGGAGAGGGGGTCCATCCCATCTCCACGTCGCTGAGACTCTGCACTTCACCTACCAAAATTGCATCCCTCCATACAGTGCTAGCTATTTATTACCAACTTAATTGGGATTAAACCAGAATTTATTACTCCCTTGAATGGGATTAAACCAGAATAAATCAGTGAAAGGTTTCTGAAAGTTATTTAAAGTGGAAAAAAAACCCCAAAGTTCATTATTTAAGATTAAGGAGTAAAATTAACTAACGACCCTATCCCTTAGAAGTTCTTCTTTAATGAAAACTAGGATTTACAACGCTGTTATGCAAACATAGACACGTCCCTTCAGTATTTAAGTGGCCACCTTATCTGATTTATCAAGACAATATAGATCAGTATATTAGGGTCTGAAGGGTAAAAATGACAAACATACGTCCAAAACTCACAGAAAGTAATGCAATTACACCCAGAAACTTTTGACCCAACCTGCTGTAACATTAAAGTCACTCAACCAGCTTGACCAAGAGCACATTATCTACCAGCGCGGGAGCTGAGAGCTGTCCCTGGGCCTATGAAAGAGGGATCCAGCCACAGAGGTGCCAGCAGCTCCACTGAATTTCCTGCAGCTCTCGTGAAGCAGCATACAAAGCAAGGTGGAAAAACACCCCTGAGAAGCTACAAAACCCAGATTTTGAGGGGCTRCTTGATTTACACTTCAAACATCACCAGCTTTTGCAATTAGGGGCTTAATGTGTTTTTTTTCCCCAATATTTTCCATTGTACTTCATCTTTAATATTTAGAAGCAATGTTGACAAAGYCTCATTTTAAATAGAGCCAAATGAGCTTATTTATACTGTTAGCACTTGAAAGTGGCTGCATGCACAACCTGGTWGATGTTCTCGGCCACATCCTTCAGGAAGGGGCTTCAACGTGGATGAAAAGCTGAAGAGGTCGGTGACGTTTCTTAATAGTCTTCAGCCTGCATGAGCTGTGGCACTGGATTCACTGGGGCTAGGGGAAGAGGGGAGAGGAACCAAGGGGGAAAAGAGTCCACATGCAGCATCACTTCCCCCTTCACAACTTCTCCCTGCCTCCCAGTCATAAAGCAAAGCAAGAGGGAACAGGGGAAAAAAGAAAGGACACCGGGGAGGCAGAACAAGACCAGCATTTCTAAAGCAAAGAAACACCCCAAATTGCTGGGAAACGGCCAAAAGAGTTTTAATTTTATCCTGAGACAAAAGAAAAGAACTATGCCATTTTCAGGTTAGATCTTGCATTTCACATCCTTATTTCCCTCTAGTTGTAAAAGGATATATGTTCTCTACATTTATGTTATTTACAAGAAAATGAAAGTACTTTTCATTTTCATTTTCCYGCAAAACCAAATCGAGAGCCTAAGTTCTCCTAGCTCCACTACACTAGTGGCCAGAAACATTTGCTGCGTTAGGAGGCATGTTTTGGTGGATTAATAAACAACTGGCTGCAGCACTTCAACATACAATGTTTACCTGCTTCTGCAAGAGGTGATCAAGCTGCTCTCACGTAAAAGAGCAATGAAAAGCTACCCTCAGGGCTCCCAATTTTGCATCCGTTCACAATGTGACCTGTGGGATGGGAGTTTTTGGCAGCTGCCTCTCACCTTAAGTATTTTTAGCTCCGGAGGAAAAAAAAAAAAAAAGGAATTTCAGAAACTCAGGGATGAATTTGGGGTATCCCTGAAACAGCCACCGTGGAAGGATCTCTTCATAGTCCAAAAGCAACACCAGATTTCACAAGTCTCACCAGGTAGGAAGCTGCTGTCATGTATCCCGCGACCCTGTATCCTGCAGAACAGGCTTCAGACAGAAGGGACATGAAGTGATAAAATCTTCTGATTCCGTGCAAAAGGAGTAGAGGACAGTTGTGAACAAACACTACCATAGGGACCGCTGGGTGTACTCCATGATTTCCTACATTTCAAGATTCCAGAACATGCAGGCAAGTATGAAACTTAAGGCAAAATATTCAGAAAAATATTTTTTAACCCTATAATGAGTTTCTGATCACTAAGTCTTTTTCTTTAGCCAATACTATTATCTGAAGCCAGGGCTCCCTGACATTCTGCATGAAGCTCACTAGTAGAGTTTGGTACTTCTTGATACAACTCTTACCTTCTCCCTGTTCTTCTAGGGTACAGTTACTTTTACACATCCTTTTTTTTCACTGGTGAAGAGCATGCACACCCAAGCTCTCAATTGCAAATAAATGCTCTGCTTAAACATTAGTCTTGAGGATGGCTGTGTCAGAAATGTAATAAAAAGCACCTGAGAGTTCGCAGGTCTGACTGTAACACCTTTCATAACRCCTTGCTTCCTTCTGCAATCCAACAAGGCTCCATATACGATTTTAAACACCAAAGGGAACGTTCCTGCCCCTGCGCAGAGCTTTGAAGTCCCTGCAAGGTTGGTTGAAACTGGGGGAAAAAAAATGCACAAACAGAAAAGCCACGTAACCGTCAGTTTTATGATGGGTGTTTCCTGGAGCCTCTATGATCTTTACAAAACCCAGCCACCTTCCATGCGTAAAACCCTGAAAGTCAACATGAGGAGTCTTGTAAGGTTATGGGGGAAGAGAAACCTTCACTTATTCTTACAAAAAGAGTTAATTCTGGCTAAAATAGCAGAGAAGCTGCTTTCCCTCTGGGCCAAGCAGTTAATCCTCTGTTGAGTATGCCTGTTTTTGCTCACCATTTCACCCTTAGGATTTAAAGTAGGAAGAAAATACGCAGGCGTTATAGAAGCCTTTAAGCAAGACAGGATCAGAGCAGCTGAACACAGCTCAGCACCCCAGGTYCTCCCCCAAACTAAGTTTTCTGCAGAGTGCTAGACTAGACAAGTGATTCTGTGAGGAGGGTGTAAGGTTAATGCAAGCCTTTAGCGTAGAGGGTCAAAATGAAGGTTGGACCCTACTCGAGATTATCCTCTCCCCTTGCAGAGAGATGACTCCGTTTTTGTTTTAATAAATTAAACAGAATAGATTTCAGAAGAGCAGTGAGAAGGGTCTATAGCTTATGGCTGCTCCAAACCCCAGCATATCGGGCTGCACAGATTACCCTTTTATTTTCTTCCATTAAAAAACCAAACCAAAACAAAGACGTTTTTTCCCAAAGAGATGTTCTTCCCAGCGCTCTTCCCCAGGGCCCAAGCTGGGGAAACAAAAACCAAACCAAACYGAACCGAACTCAGCACGTTCTCATTTGGTCACTAGATGAGGGAGAAGGAAAGCAGAGAGCAGGGCCAGGCAGCTGCCTGTGTGACTTCAGCGCAGCGATCCTACGACCCGCAACCGGGTATTCAATGAGTCAGTGCCCTAGGTGGAGAGGAGGAAGGGCTGGGAGAGCTCAGGCCACGCTGCTAATTCCTTTCTTGTACAAAGACAGTCTCTTGAGGGCACAGGCCTGCCTCCTGCAACGTGATCTCATAGTCCAGGTGGGAGAGTTTCCTCCGAGGGAAGTTGGTGAGAAGTTCGAAGCGCTCGTTGGGGTAGCCTTTCGACTGCACGTGCTTCACGAGAGCCTGGAGGGCAGAAAAGGCAAAGAGCTCTTAATTAAGTCTTTTTAATTAAGGCTCATATAATTAAGGCTTAATTAAGTCTTTTAATTAAGGCTCATATCTTAGGAGAGCAGCTCTACAGAGAGCTTATAGAGAGCTCTATAAGTAAAACCCATTGTCACCTACAAAGTGTTATGGCCCAAGCTATAGTCTCATATTCTTCAGAGATATAACCAAGCAATTTTGCTTAGGTTCCTTCTAAATCTGTGCAAGGCCCCTCAGAAGAGACATGGTCTGCTTTTAGGTACCTAAGACTTTGCAGCACAAAGCTGAATTTTCCTGGCCAGTGTCYTGTGAAAACTGACAGCTAAAAGGACTATAGTGACCTCTTTGAACATGGTAAAGATTTTAAGTGTGCAAGAATATGGGAAAAAAAAGGAAACACAACAGAATGACAGTATAAGCACTCCTTGGACATACCCCTTTCACTGGATATAATTTTGATAGTGCTAGCACAGGAAAAGAAATGTTTCAGTTTCCTGTATTCCTGAAACGTTTCAGTTTCAGCTGTCCTGTAATCAAATAAGGATTGCAAGGAACTCCACTCACCAGAAGTTTAGCTTGTTCAGGCAGTGAAATCTGTTCCCTCTTTCCATCTGGATACCTTAGCATCAGCTGTGCCTTTGGTCCTGGCATAAAGGAAGTTACTACAAGTTAACAAACAGCAAGGCAGCCAAACTGAGCTCTTGGGCTGGCTTTGGGTAGCACACTTTACTGCATACACCAGTGGGGTTAGGGACTGGAGACAAATACAACTCTTTTTTTGGTGCACAAAGTTTTAGTCCATAAAGATATCCTKTTATTGCATGCAAATCAAATGTATAAATCAAACTTGGGACTTATGGAAAAGTTAATGATTGATACATATCAGCATTCCCAGATAAACTGTGCTACCCTTTGCCTTTGAGATCACTTTAATCCACTATATCCAGGCTCAGAATTGCTAGGAAGAACAGAGACTCTAAATGCTTGCTAATAATATATAGATATAGATAGATAGATAGAGATTATAGATGTGTATATATGTGTGTGTATATATATATATATATATATCAGAAAAAAGACTGAAATACTTGCAAATTACTATAAAAAAAAAAGAATGTGGTAACTTGCCATTCACATCTAGCACTTGCAATGTGCTTTCAGGCTTGTCAGTGGACTCCTCCAGGATCCCTGCATCAATGCAGGGCAGGACTCTGTGATTTGACGTTGTACCTGGCTCTGTCCGTGCAGGGGCCTCAAGCTGTGGCCTCCGACTCTCTTCTTTTTTATACCCCAAGTCCTTGTGTGGAGATTTCCTCAACTTGGCAGGATTCTCCAATTCCTCCTCCTCCTCTGATCCGCACACCGAAATGAACTCTTCGCTCCCGGAAAAAAGCTCTGATTCAGACTCCTCATCCGACCGACTCTCCTGCTTGGCCTGTGAGGAATCAAAATGGGTCTCCTGTAACGAGGCTCTGATGGCAGCTTCCAACTGGCTGTCCTCACTGGCATCAATGAGGCTCTCCTGTTGAACACAGGCATAACACAAAAAGGCATCAGAAAAAAGGGTTTTTATTTGTATCAAAGTGTTCCAAAGGGAAGCTATCAAAGCTGCCACGTGGAAGGCCACTCATGCAGTTGGTGCTTAAGGATTTCTCCTCACAGTCACACGACATGATATTTTTCAGCAGTATTTTTTCCATTCTACGCACGCACATTTCTGTGACCACTAAACGCAAAACCAACGCTGGAAGTACAACTTGCATAACAAAAATAACYCTCAGAGGAGAAGGTGCCTTCTGATGCACCATCTTTTTATGTTAGCATGCTCGTGCTCTATTTCATTGAATCTTTTAATACTAAAAATGGGAAAACACTACAACTGCATAAAGGCACAGCAGCTTTTCCCTCGAGTTTCTCCAGGCCTCGTACTCACAGAACGACAACATTTTGGGGGAGGGTTAGTCGAATGCCCATCCAGTTGGCCGTGCTCGCTCAGGAACCCAGTCACTTGGTCCAAGAACGAAGTTACATCGAGCTGGTGCCACTCCACTAGTTTCTGGCCTAGGGMAAAGAAGGCATCACGGAATATAATTTCAGCAACAGCCCTCCAGAGATTATAGTTTAGCTGCCAAATGAACAAGTTCAAGGCTCTGCACATATGTTTGCATTTGGGGAACGTCGGCTTCCTGCAGGCCACCCCCTGATAGTTACACTGTGATAGTCACTGTGATTCYGGGATTTCCACCCTATAGCACCTTGAAACAGTTTCACTCCTGTACTGCCATAAGGACAGACTTACGTTAATAAGTTTATTGTTTYTCTGTATTCCTGGGAATGTGTGTGCAGAGCGGTGAACTATGAGTCATAATTAAACAAACAAAAACAACCCAACCAAACTGACAAGGATTTCTCCATTCTTGCCTGCTTTGATTCTACATCTTGGCACATAGCATTTGTTTCCATAACGTAAAGTGCTAAGAATAATATTCTAATTTTGGTTGCAGAGAACTAGCYTGGAGGTGGTTTACATCAAATAGCATGAATGCAATTATTTTAGTGCTGAGCAGCAGGGARGGCACTGCCTGCTGATGCTGTAGATTACATGAAGATAAAAGAGACTGGTCTTTGGGGCTGCAGAAAAATAAGTTATAATTTAAAAAGGCTTGGAGGTGAACAAAGAAGTCTGATTGTTCAGTTTAAAAGAAATATATATGTGCTGACAAAGATAGTATTTGAGCCTAAAAGTGCYAGTCCTTACAGGATAAATACACTGCAGATGATGGTCCCTTGTCTTACCTGTTCTGGGATCCAGGATGGAGACATAAGGGAAGTCTGCCAATTTATAAAACTGTATGTACCTCTGTCCTTCCTCACTGTCGTGGTATACCTAGAGAACACCACATCAGAAGCAAGTTATTGCAGGGGACAGGATGGGGGGGACAAAAACCATCCTGAAAACGTACAGAGGATGTACAAACGTGCCCACCTAAGAAGGCACCGAGTTTACTACAGCCCCCACTGCATTTCTCACCTGCCAGAAAATGAAGTGCTCCCGGATTATGTTCTTCACAGCCTCATTGCTCCACACGTCGCGGTTGAGACACTGACATGCAAAATCTTGCACGTTCTGAATGTTTATCATGAGCCACTTGTTCTGCATCTGACCGCACTCCTTGGCCTGCAAGCAGAGGGAAAAGCTTCATGAGCCCATATGGAAGAGCCGGATGCAAACACTGCCAGCAATGATCAGCGATGGCTTCTAACGCGGACGGATTTTTCCCTAAAACCCCTTTGCAGTGAAAAAGATGGACAGAGCTAGCAAAAAAAAAAAAAAAAGGCATCCACAAAAACAGAAGGCAGGGCTAAAAACACCTGCTTGAATGAGACCGGTCGAATTACAGAGTCACACCGATGAGCAGAGCCGCTGGATTTCAAGAAGCCAAGCGTAGAGTGGGAGAAGCGACTTGAGGAGCAGGGCGGGGGAGAATAAATAAATAAACAAACAAAATAACTGCAAATTCAGTATTTGTTCTGGGAAGAGTAGAGTCAATCGCACTGATTTGACAACAGAGGAAAGACTTGCTCGCTCTTAAGATAAACCTGTGTTTTCTTTGCAAACAGGAGAGCACAACTGATGGTCAACTGGCACAAACAGGACAGGTTTCCCTCTCTGYATGCTCTTTCTTTGCTTTTAATCCTCTCCTCTCTCTGCTTCTTGGGCACCTGGCAAATTAAGACCGTTTTTGCTGCTGGAGATCCAGGCTGTTAAGTGGGGAGGAAGATGGGAAGGTGCAGGAGAAAAATCTTACTGGTTTGAGTCACAAAGCTGGCATTGTCTGATAGGTTGGTTAATGGTAGGAGTTTGATCAAGAATGTAATTCTGATCGCTGAATTGCCAATACCTGTTGAAAAAAAGAGGGCTATATCAACAGTAGGAATGCTCTTACCACCTGCAGAGACTGGAACTAGCAAACACACGTGTTCTAAGCGTGTCCACTGTCTTGCTTACACTGCCCTTAACAGCAAATAATTCAAGGAATTTAGATTTTCCGTGAAATTTTGCTGGGTTGGACAGTATTTTGCTCCCCCAACCAAAGCTCCAGTGTTACAGTGAGTTCTAGCCTCTGTACTTTTGAACAGTCAGTCTGTGTGACACAAACACTGGGATGTGGGAAGCCCATATACTCAGCTCGGTAAAATGCAACACTCAATATGGTAAAAATTGTAGCTATTAAAGTAGATAAAGGTTGTTCTTTGATTCCAGGATCTCAAGTTACAAAAGTTACTCTGCGTGACCCAATGACCTGCGAGCCAATTTTTATTTTMCTCACAGAAAAGAACATTACAGGAAAAAAAATAGGACAGAAAGTATGGAAGGGCCATACTGATCCCCTGAGTGACTTCACATTAATTTCTTACTGCCATCATTACAGTCTCAAAATCCAGTATTTTGTCAGAAGAAATAAGCAGGGTAGGAGACACCTAAAAAAAATACTTTTTTATTTTTCACTCAGGATTTGCTAGGCTTTTATTTCCAGGGTGTTTCGAGCTAAATGGGGATTTTGAAAAGTAATTTTAGGCAAGCAGTTTACAGAGAGGTCTAGAGGTACTGCCTGGAGTTAAAGGGAACACAGATCAAGATAAATCTTAAGTCTATCAGACTGCTTTAGTCTTGTATCCTAGATGAAAATAATAAACTCAGAAAAGAATTTAAAAAAAAAGACACATTATCCCTATAATCCCATTTTCTATTGTTATTATATGTCCCTAGCAAAGCCAGAAATGCATCTTATTCTTCTACACTCACTCTATATATTCCTCAACATGGATGAAAACCTGACTCTACCTCTCCAYTGTCCAGCTAACCTCCTCTTTAAGGGATGCAGGCACAGAAAATCCACACAGAACATTTATAGAGATGAGCTGGGGCACAGAAAGCTCTCCAAGCCATTCCTACCTTCCTCCTAAAAACAGCCGGCTTCCCACTGAACATCTAAAAGRACACTGTGAAACTGCTGCCCTCTCATGTACAGACCCAGTCGTGCTCCTAGTTGGCCACTGGCTCTGAGAGGGAAGCAGGGAGGGGAAAGGGCGGGAATATCGTGGAATATTGTCTAAATATGTTGTGGATTGGACAACTTGCAAAAAAAGGTCATGTTTTACTCTCGCTACTTGCTTCTAATGGGGAACTCCAAGCTTTTGTATTCCCATCAATGGCAATTTATTCTCTCACTTGACTTTTCTGCAATGTGCAGGATTTATAAATTTCTAATCCTGCTCCCTTTTAGCAGGGTCATTCCTATGCCAAGGAGGAAATGCACCACAGGGCCAAACTTTTAGCCATTGCCTAGAGGTTCTCCTCCTCAAACTAGAAGGTAACCATTCCTTTTGCATGGAATTCTTCCTGCTTCTTCCTTGGTTGACACACATGGCTCTTCTCAGCACCGAGAGGAAGAAGGGAGCAGAGACAGAATCTCATGACCTTCTAGACCTTTGCTAGTCAAGCAGAGCTCATTTTGGAAGACAGCGGCTACAGAAGGTCAGGACATGAGATCTGCTTGTAAGCAGGAGCTATCCTGGCCGTACCAGACAGACATTTCTYGCCTGGACCAGCAGGGAAGAAAAGGGCATGCAAGTGTCCTCGTCAACCGGCTGTSCCAGTGGTTCATCTAGAGGTTAGACGTGCAGTGACAGCCAGTAGAAGAGCCTGGAAGTATCTTATACAAAGAGCAGATTCACTTCCAAACTCTTATCTGCTTGCTATACAGAAAGAAAATATTCCTCTTGAGCTGGAAAGCAGGGAGCAGCTACAGGTATCAGACTAGCTCATCTCCAGACACCATTTCCAAGCTTAACCCTTCCGTGACTCCTTCTGGGAAGCACGAGGCAATCTGGAAGAAGATGCCACCAGGATTATCTGCTYCCCATACGGAAAGGCACTAAATTGTGTGAATCCACTACAGCCCCTTCAGGAACTCAATCACATCACAAAATGTACGTGAGAAAAGACAAATTTCTATTTTCCAATTAAATTCTTGAAAGCAAGTTTTTGACGCTAGAACATAACCACATTCCTCATTACCAAGTGGGTCTGGTGCTTGATGCGCATGTTAAAGACACAACGACCACGAAGCTTAACACTACATTGAAGCTCACTATCACAGTCAGGAAATGCCAGCTAAATTTCCTTGTACAAACGTCACCAACTTTCAGAGTCTTGGCGGGCAGGAAGAGCCTCATTATATAGACACAACACTTGCCAAATACAGATTTTTTGATGATACCACATATTTAAGCCCTGAAAGTCTCTCGGGAGTTTTCTAAGAGGAGGAAGATCCATCTGCCTCTGGTTAATGTGGCCTCATTCCTACTGGCTACTAACTAACATCCAGTGACTCAGCTGTCACGTGCAAAAGACCTGCAGGATTAAAAYGAAATTTTTTATAGATTTTCTGCGTCTAAACTTTTCCACATCTCACCTTCCATGGTGTAACTCAGTTAAGCATATACGTTGCTTTACAAGTAGGACAATCCTAARTTGTACTGTTCAAGGAGCACACTACTCATTGCGGGATTATAAGTTTTAAWAAAGCGATGCTCATTCAACACTTGAAAATGTCTCTTCAAAGAAAAATGATTCTCAACTCTTCTTAAAAGCTAGAATTACCGAGCTGAAAGGAAATCACAACTATATGCATTTTCCTGCTAAGAAAGTATCTTTGTAWTTGAAAGTAATTGAGTTTTCCTGATGATAAATACATAAAATTAAAGAACTGAAGGTACTTAATATCAAAGTTAGATAAACGGGGCAGGAGTAACAGAAAAAAGAGCAACAAAGATACAGGAAACTTAATATGAACAGACACGTTTTACATTTGATTAAAGTTTGAATAAAGTCAGAAATGTGCAAAGTGTTGTTGAGCTTTTTGCACACTCCTTCCAAGGAGCTTCAGCTAYACCACACACCACAACTTCCCCTCCTCAAAATGCTTCAGTTCGCCCTAACACATGAGAGCACCAAAATGACTTTGAAATGCAATAAACACTGCTGTTTATTATTTAATTTCTGTGGGTTTATTGAGGGCACAGGGAAGGAAGAAGCAGAGTAAGTCACAAGACTAAGACAAGTTTGCTGGAGGTGAATTCTGAGCAAGACTCCAATCAGTGAAGGAGGTTCACAGGAGGCCAAGCACCATCCTAAGCTCGTAGAGTAGTYCTGCAGCACAAAGTCATTAATGTAAAAATTGAAGTGGTTTCGGTCAACAAATTGAGAAGATTTTGATTGCAAGGAGGATGAGGAGCATCCCTTCGAAATCAAGGTTAGTCCATGAGATGAAGGATTGTACAGGAGCATAAAAAGGTGAAGGCCAAGGCTAGAAAGCACATGTCTCTCATACAAGTGTGTATGTACAAATGGATTCTTTCCTCAAATAACAAGACTAAATAAGAAGGCAGAGACTTAGAGTCAAATCCATCAGCTGACTACTCAAACTACTTTTTACTATGTCAGAAAAGACCTATTGAAGTCTCGATATTTTCAGCAAGACCTAAAGGATGATGGTTAAACACCTTGAGTTCCACAGCAGAGACAGGWGAGTGCTTGCCCGCTGTGGCTACATTTTCATCTGTTTTTAGGTGGACTCCCCTTAATGCTTCCTCTTATCCACACGTTTGTTTGGTTCACAGAACAGGTCTGGTGGGAAGGTTCAGTCAGGGGACCGGATACAATGTCGTTTGAAACAAGCTCTAAACCTCGTATTGTCACACCGATGTCTCAGCACTTGGTCAATCTACTGATTTGCTTCTACTGCACCAAATTACTCATCAAAATTACTTGTTGAGATAGACATCACTGTTCTTCATTAGCATTCTTTAAAACCCAGATTTTTGTTAGGAAAATAAACATACAGAAGGAGTTTAGAGTCAATTTTACTAGACYCTCCACACGAAACAAAAGAAGTCTTTCCCAGGACCAGAGAAGACTTTTGTTCAGCTCACAGACTCAGATCTCCTGCATCGTTTGCAGCAACCTGTGGTGCACCAGTGGAGCATTAGTTTGCATTCYCACAGAGATCTCCTCTAATACTTAACTACTTGAAATAGTTCAGTACTTGTTTCAAGTTCTGAAGTAAGAATATCTGGCAGCTAGAGACTAAAAAAATGAAAAGATAATGTCGATTTGCGTAGTCTTTAATTGTGATTTAGGTCACTGGATCCAAATCCTAGCTTATAACTGGGCCCRAAAACGTCTACAAAGATAGAAACGGTGACACCTGAAGTTACTGAAAGGTACCAGCACCTTTGTCAGAATCTCTTGAGTATTTTATCCATCACTTCCAGGTGCAAAAGACAACGATGTGATCTTGCACAAGGAACAAGATCTCTACCAAAAAGGAAGTTCAGCTATAGAAACAAAGTCGTGTACTGATARATCATCTGTACTAGATCAGGTATCAGAAGCTGTTCTAGCTACGGGATTTAACTAAAGATTTAACATGGAATTTAATTTTAGTGTTACATTTAAATGTCAGCAGTCCATCCTTTGTTAAATCCTTCCCCAAGGCATCACCAGCCACATGCAGTGCACCAGCCAAGCATTGCTCATTACGTGGTTCCTGATAACTTATTATACAAAAGGATGGATCCAAACGGATTTACAAAGGGATCTACAAATAGATGTCAGCCAACAGCCTAATCCAGGGCTTTTACTTGGTACATGGTCACCAGGTAAGTGACTTCAGCGAAAGCTCCAGGCTTACCGTTTCAAAACTGCCTTTGTGCATGAGATCAATGGGAGGCCTGAAGAGGTCCGCGAGAGTCGTGAGCTTCTTATCCACCGCCCCTCCATTCCGTAGCTCCTGTTCCTGCCGAACTGCACAGCCCCAAGAGGAAAGGGAGAACAATTAGACAAAACATTCCAAGTTGGGTTTACTATTGTCTCTCTCTCATGCACAAAATTTCAGCACTAGAGTCACAAGGCAGTACCACAGTGAACGAATGAACCATTAGTAAGATTGGGCTCCTTTACATAGGACCCAGCTTGGCTTACTTCTTTCATGTACTGGCCGTTTATTTAATTTTTTTAAAAATATTTTCTTCTGAAATGTGTGGATGGGGGGAGTTGACCATAGCTCAGTGCTCRAAAATGAATGAAGAAAATTACTTTTCCTCAGTGACACTTTCTAAGGGGTCAGACAGTACCATAAGCTTCACTCAGAATATTTCTATATTGGTCTTTCTACCTCTTGGTCTTAAGGCAATTCCCTAAAAGAAGCAAAATGTTTACTTTAAGGGAAGAAATATCTTGAGAAGTGCATATTTAATATCTACTGTCCCCAGAGCTGACTCAGGATACTAACACCTCTCGCAATTCAACAGATTTTCAGACTCGTTTAAGTACCATTATTTTGAGGAAGTTTCTGGTAGGGGTGTCCTTTCCATTCAAAATGACACAGAACACATTCCCTACCTACACATCAGCATATAAAACAGGGGTAAATCACAGGAGTGGCTTACCTACAAAGCAGGGATTAAATGTATTTTGCAGATCCAAGTCAGTTAAAATGAGGAATTACAATTACATGACCCAAAAGCTTTCTGACTGTGCAATAGCTGCCTGTGGTCATAGCATACAAATAATTTTTGATTAGATACTGGATGCCATGAGGAAAAAAAGTATCCTGTGTGCCAGAAGCAATGTGGACTTTTATGGCCATGGACACTCTTTCAGAGATATTCAGGGAGTAATATTCACCTATGAAGGCTCAACATATGGTATTATAAAGTTCATTATGAACCTTCACAACGGCTTTACATTTTGTGCATCCCAAAACATCTCACAACAGAGCTGCAGATCATGAAAAAAAGGTTATGAGCATGGCAACTGTGTAAATTATGTATTTTAGTTTCCACATCAACCTTTAGCACCTAACTAGTTCATTCCTGGAAAACCCTGACAAAACCTGTTAGTTACCTGTAGACAGGTAACAAGTGCATGACCGCTCTAACTCAGCTATCACAAACATGGTCTTCGTCTGCCACAGAACCATCTTCTATGAGTCTTAATGGTTTAAACAACAGCCAAAGCTTTGTCATTTGGAGATTCTGCTCCATGGCTACCCAAAACGAACCCAAGTACCACAAACATCACTGGCCATCCAAGAAAAAAGTCAGTGAATTAACTTAATTCCTACACAGTCTTTAGTTTCTTCTCCCTTTTCCATTCCCTTCAGGGCAGGAAAAAAAAAGTAGTTTTTGAGGACAAGTTTTATGAAGAGAGTATTTGCCAGACCAGACCAGAGAGAACACTTGTATGGTTTCAGTCCTGCTAACCTAGGTAAGTGGCTGGACCAACATCTTCAATATCAGCTTCATATATCCACCACTTAGCACTTTCCCTTCAGTTATTCCAGAAAAAAATATCTGGAAAAGATTTTCCCCCAGGAAATAAATAGCAAACCTTAACTGAACCACAAACATGTGGAAAAGAAAGGCCAGCAAACAGTTACCAGCCCACTAAAGTTACTCCAAACTAACTCCTGCTCTACAGTAGGCAGTTTAAAACCATTTGATGACTGAGGACCATCATAGCCAAGAGGAGAAATTATTTCACAACTGCAGTTGCACTGAAAAACCAGAAMTTCCAGCATACCCATCTGCACATACTTACTGGTTTCTGTTTGGAAATCCCGAAAGCCATCAAATATTGAACGGGCAGGTCTGCGTCTTTTGGGAGCTTAAAAAAGAAAAGAGATGTTAAAGATCATTTCTAGGGCATACTATCAAAATTACTATGTATTAGCACTTCACTTTATCTGTTTGGGACAACAGGCATATGCAAGGGAGGTATGAAGACCTGAAGGCTCATGGAAATTTACTGTTCATAAGATCTCATCTTTTCTATCATATCCTTTCCCCAGCAAATCTCACCACAGAGGCAAAGCATAAATCACTGACATGTGAAAATTTAAAGTCAGATCTCTCTGCTGGGCTCATCTTGCACCCCAAACCTCCCTTGCTGACAGAAACATATTTGTTTCTCCCTGCAAGGCTTTTCTATTCCTATGTGATCTTTCCTCTGGTTCCTACCCCAGATTCTTGGCTGAGTTGACAGCGACCCTGACAGGGTCCTCCACTAGATCCAGGTATTGTTATCYGCACAGAAATCTTCAGAATAGATTATCTGCAGGTGGGTGGAGACAGATAGTGGTCCAGGTAGGTCTAAARGGCTTCTGAAAACACTAGCTAATGATTTTGATTGAAGTCCTGTCACACACTGCTGTTCATGGGGGCCAAAATAAAAGTACCCATCAAAACTCTCCCTGGCTGTTCTTCTGAATTTCCACTAACTGAAAGAAAAATGATTTAAGAATAGTAGCTTCAAGCCTTAATTGTTACACAGCTTGGTAAGTATCAAACAAGTTAAACAGAGCAAGAGAAATACTATATCGGTGCACTAAAAACCCATAAAAGGCAAAAAATATATATTTACAAGGAGAAAGAAGGATCTAAGCTCAGTYCAGAAAGCAAGTCCCTCCAAAACCTGTTCTGAGAGATCTTTCTGGTTTTGCACGCAGCATCTTTCGTCTTGCTCCACGCTAGTGGCATCAAGAACAGGACACAAGTCTTGCTCTCCATTCCTCCTTCTCAAGTCAAGGTAAGTGAAAGTAAACATGGAAGAGGAACACACCTGTGTGAAATGCCTTTAACTCATGTGGGTAACATCCTTTTCTCCTCTTAATGCTTAGCTACAAGCACAACTCATCAGAGCCAAGGTTCAAGCGACTCAAACTGCAGCTTGGAGAAGGACAACTTCAGGAAAAGCAGTATCTTCCCAGGCATTTTCCTGCAATTGCAGCACTCTTCTGCAATGCTGTGAAACCCAGAAACTGGAACGTCCTCCAACAGAGGCCCGAGCTTGAAGGAACTTTCTGGTTTCAGTGGAGTCATCAGGCTGCTTCATGCTATGAACAGAGGTAGCCTTAATGAGGCTATTAACACTAGTAGATGAGAAAGTCCAAGAAGCCACYGCTGAGGGAAAATGTGTCTGTGATCAGTGTGTGACAGCTGGGTAGAGAGGAGCCAAGTAAAAGGGCGAAAAGATCTTATTCCTGTGCTTCTTGAAAACACAAGATTCTGGAGACCTTTGTCAAAAACTGTTGAACCACAAAGAAAGCCAGAGAAACAAGACAAAATGGTATCTTCAGAGAGCCCTCAGCTGGGGACCTTCCTCCAGAACCACCRCTAAGTTTGTTTATACTGAAAGAAAAAACACTCTTGTGTTGGCCAAAGGATCAACAGAAATCCAATTCTGGGTTAAGTGTGAAGCTCTGCATTGTTCTCTCTAGCACAGGAATGAAACAACAGAAAAAAAAGGTGGAGGTATGAGGCTGCTTTAAAGGCAAGCACTTCCAAGCAATAAAGGGCAGTCCTTGGAATCCAGACGACATGGGGAAAGCCATGCAGATGGCTAGAAACTGCCTGGGGAGCACAAGGATGGAGCCTCATAAGGCTCGAGGAACATCCTAAATAAGGGAAACCTTAAATCAAATCAAATAAAATAAAATTCCCCAAGGAGAAATGGAGGAAGCGCTGAGCAATCATAGAGCTCAGGTCTCCTTTCTAGCTCTCCCCCTTGCCTGAGAAGCAAGCGCGTGTTCTCTTCACATTACCCATTTTCACTCATCAGTGAAACCTCATGCCCTACCTCCTTGACCATTTTTCCAGCTGCATCACAAAGCTCTGCACCCCAAGAGGGCTCCAAAATCACTGGTGTATATTTAGCAGAGCTAACTGGTTGTCACCTAACAGAGCAAATTGGTACCATAGGGAATACAGTTTCTGTGAGGACTTTAATAAYACGGATGCGTTTCTCAGTACACCCTCGTGTTACATGGATGCCTAGTTGCAGCAGCGAAAATTAAGAACACAAATACACGCAATGCTTTCTTCATTTTCAGAGTTGCATCTTTCTTTTCTCATTTAGCTCACCTCATGTTATTTAAAATGCAGAAATGGAAGAACACAGGCTTACCTCCAAACAAGGGCTCAGGCTCAACTAAAATTTCTTGTTTTTGAGGAATGGGAGCTCGTACTTCATCCCTAACACAGAGGAGGAAAAAAAAAAAAGAGAGATGATATTGTTGCAAGGCAATATAAACCAAAAAGGAAAAAGGGACCTCAAAAGACCATCTATTCCCACCGCTTGCACTGAGGCACAACTTTGTTCACTCACTTTTAAGATCTGGCATGGATGATTTTTAAAAGCCTTGAAAGAAAATGATTACACACATCCCTAGATGAATTGATCCCAGGCTTTATGATTTTAATAATGAAGCAGATTTTTTTCCTGTAGCAACTTTCTTAAATGTCTTTTGTTCATGAGTAATGAACAAATGAATAAGCTAGAGCAACAATGGACATTTGTCCCCCAACGTTATCCTCTGCTTCCACAGCTGGGCTGCTTCACATAATCAGCAGTTCAGGTATACCCACAGAGACTGCTGGATCACCTGAAATCAGGACTTCAAGAAACCAAAAGGGGCTATGAAATAGTATCACACATTTAATGTGATCACCTCGCCCATGGTTCTTAAAAAGTGGAGGTCACGGGCTCACCCAGGAAAAACCACTGTCATATGGTACCTAGGAACTACTCCTAAAACGCCCTCTTTAAGCTCTCCAAAGTCTAACGTGTGTGRCTTGTGGCTCTCGGCCACACGGATGTCAAATAATTCATTAAGTTACTCATAATGTCAGCAAGATGCACTAACCTTGCTATTAACCTCCACATCTTTGATTGCTGCTGTGAGGCTAGTTATTCTCCATTTTGCATTTGCATATTTATGTCTCTGTCTTCCTAGAAGTAACACTAAGCTGACCAGCACCTGGAGGGTGTCAAGTATAAAAAAAAGAGGATTCCAATAAAAACTTGACTCTTAAGTCACTGACATGCCAGCRGTTGTGTAGAATTAAGAACACTGATACCTACAGATACAGAGTTTGAACTTCATTACCTGCCAAAGGGTCAAGCAGGAAGGCATTTAACATCAATTTTAAAGGTTATTACCCAAAGAGCTTTTCAAACTCATACATGTGCTTCAGAAATACGAGTGGCAAGGCGTTTCCTTAAAAGTAAGTTCACTTTTCCCCAAAAGGAGGGGTTTTCATATATATAAAACACAGGACTGAAGCCGCTATGTCTATAAGGAGCAAAAGAATTCAGTTCTTTCTGGCTAATAAACTAACAGGGGTCTGGATTGCTGAGGCAATTTAAAAGCAAGAAACTCTTAGCACGGGTCTCCATGTTAATGCCTTGATCTCTGCCTGCCAACGCAGTATTTATGAGCTGCAGGGCACTTCTGAAGTACATGCGAGAGAGATCTGTAACAAATAACAAAAATGCAGAAAGTACTACTCATAGAAAGGCTGCCAGAGGACAACTACATGCTGTGTTTTACACTTAAAATAGCAGGATGTTGAGCTCAAAGTTACTGAAACAGAATCAACTGACAGTGAAAGTTAAGATCTGTCCCAGTCAAAGTGAGGTTTAAGCTGCCCAGATTCCACCTCCTATTCTTTGGCTACCAGAACAGCTTAGAATCACAGAATGGTTAAGGTTGGAAGGGACCCCTAGAGATCACCTAGTGCAAGCCCCCTGCACACACAAGTCACCTAGAGCATGTGGCACATGGCTGCGTCCAAGCGGATTTTGAAAATCTCCAAAGGAGGAGACTCCACAGCCTCTCTGGGCAGCCTCTTCCAGGGCTCTGACACCCTCACTGTCAAGAAATGTTTTCTTAAGTTCCTGTGGAACTTTTGGTGCTTCGGTCTGTGGCCGTTTCCTCTAGTTCTATCAGTGGCCACCACTGAAAAGAGGCCRCCCCCTCCTCCTCACTGCCTCCCTTGAGGTRTTTATACACACTGCTCAGGTCCCCCCTCAGCCTCCTCTTCTCCAGGCTGAACAGRCCCAGCTCYCTCAGCCTTTGCTCAKAGGGCAGATGTTCCAGGCCCCTGATCATCCTCATAGCCCTGCGCTGSACTCTCTCCMGCAGCTCCACATCCCTCTTGTCCTGGGCAGCCCAGAACTGGGCACAGTCTCCAGATGTGGCCTCACCAGGGCTGTGTATAGGGGGACAATCACCTCCCTCGACCTGCTGGAGATGCTCTTCTGAATGCACCTCAGGATCCCACTGGCCTTCTTGGCCACCAGGGCACACTGCTGTCTCATGGTCATCTTGTCATCCACCATGACGCCCTGATCCCTCTATACAGAGCTGCTCTGCAGAAGGTTACTCCCCAACCTGTACTGGTGTCCAGGGTTATTCCCTGCCAGGTGCAGGACAGAATCACAGAACGGTGAGGTTGGAACGTACCTCTAGAGATCATCTAGTTCAATCTCCCTGCTCCAGCAGGGACATCTAGAGTATGTAGCATCTAGGACCTTGCACTTTCCCTTGAACTTCATGTGGTTTCTCACCACCCAGTTGTCCGGTCTGTCCAGGTCCCTCTGGATGGCAGCACAGCCCTCAGGGCKATCAGCTACTCCTCCCAGTTTGGTATCATCAGCAAACTTGCTGAGGGAGCACTCCAGCCCCTCATCCAGGTCGCTAATGAATAAGTTGAACAGGACCGGACCGAGGACTGACCCCTGGGGAATGCCACTAACCACAGGCCTCCAGCTGGACTCCRCGCCACYGATCACCACCCTCTGAGCTCTGCCATGCAGCCAGTCCTCAATCCACCTCTCCATCCACTCATCTATCCCACACCTCCGGAGCTTGCCCAGGAGGATGCTGTGASGGACAGTGCCAAAGCCTTGCTGAAGCGCCTTTAACGTTGGAGCAAGCAAACAAACCAGATCCTCAAAGCAGCAGCCAGGAGGGGCGAGCACCGCCGTGTTCGTTCTGCCTTTCAACACCAAGGTCTTTACACAGCCCACTGCTCCCTACAGCGGCTCCTGGCTACGTACTCCGTGTGCGGCCGCACGGCAGCCGCGGCGGCCGAGCTGGTGCTGGGCTCCTCGGCGATGCCCCCGCCGTCCAGGAACATGGTGACCGCCATCTCCAGGTTGTTGTTGCACGCCTCCAGCATGTGCTTGCCCACGCTTTCACTGGCACCTGCAAGGCCAGAGGAAAATTAGAGCGCTCTTCCCAAAGCACCCCGCAACGCCAAGCTGCGCCTCACAAAGCATTTTTGGACTTAGGAGGAGCAGCTGTCCCATTTCAGCTCCTAACTGCTCCATAATGCCCATTTCAGCATCAAAGTGAGACAAACATGTTCCTCACCGGTACAAGAGTTCAGCCTTCTTACYTCCATAAAAATAAAATGAAACGGAAGCCACCCAAGGCTGTTCAGCATGGTTTTTCTTTCTCCTTGTTAGAGTTCAGACCTTTTTCCAATACAAATTTCCAGGCACTTGACAGGCACGTGGAGCTTGACTTCTGTTGGGGTTGGGGTTTACAACCCCCTCCAAACCTCAACATTTTAACAGGCAAAAAGGCGATACCAGCAGTTATAATATGAGGAGGAACCTTCTCTGCTCATATCRTAACAAATATTATAAAGACAGAATAAAAGGTTTCCTGCTTTACTGATAGCACCTTGCAAGACCTTTTCAAAATCATACAGCCACCAAAGACACCCCACTTACAGACTCTCACAAAGTTTACCATGTGATTAGCAAATACAYTTTGAAACTGTGCAGATAAATCAATCTGCAGTGACCTACTCAATTACATTAAATCACCRAGAAAGATTGTTTGAGGGGAACTAGGTTCCCTAAATCAGCTCGTCAGAAGCGCGATTATGAGGCAGTTCGTTGTATTTCAAGACCTTAATCAAGACAGATCAAGACCTTAATCAAGCCCTTGAATTACCTACACAAAGAAGCAACAAAAAAAGTAAGCCTGACTTCTCCAAACTTTTCTTTGGTATTGCAAAGAGCTTATTTCAATATTAGCTTAACTGATATTATTCTGCTGTAGTGCTACAGTTGGGGAGCACCATGATCATCACAGTTATATGGAAGCACGAGTTTCAAGAGCTAGAAGGAAACCCTCATCAAACTCTCTGCTATTTAAAGGGTTATCGGTACTCAAAGCGTTCGCACCAATTCTTCGCCATTCCAACAACACAGAATTTGTTTTGAGGGTTTCTAAATCTTGCCAAAACGGGGAAAAAAAAGAACTCCCAGAGTCTACTTCCACAGTGGGAGTGTGAAATCCAAGGGGGGGGGGGGGTTATTTTCCCTGTGTATTCCAACTGGAAGAGCAAACGTGTGTGTTTTATTGAGCAGTGTTCTCCGCAGCCGTCACGCACCCCGCAGCGAGGCGGGCCGCGCTCCGAGCAGCGGTTCATCCCTCACYGCCAACTCGGGGCTCGCACGAGCGGCTCGGCCGCCAACTGAAACTCTCCGCGGGGGGACCGGGCTCGGAGACCTATCTAATTCTTCAGCCTCCACCTCTGCGGTGTSTTTTATTCCCGCCGTGCTCGCGGCGGGGACACGACCGGCTCTGGCCGCGGAGAAGCCGCTGACAGGCCCCGCCGCCGCCGAGCCGCTCGGGCCCCGCCGCTCCGCTCCGCGCGGGCCTCCCGCCGCCGGCGCTGCCCGCGAGGACGAGGACGGGCCGCGCCGCTAACCGCGAGGCGGCCCGAGCCGCCGCCGGGCCGCGGCTTCCGCGCGCCTCACCCGTGATGGCGGTGAACTGCTGGATTAACCCCTTGAGCGCCGCGGAGGCCGCCGAGCCCCCGGGCGCCGCCATCTTGTCGCCGCCGCGCAACGCCGCCCGCCCGCTCTGCGCAGGCGCGGCGCCCGCCCGCGCGCGCGCGCCTCCCGCTTCGCTCTCCCCGCCGCTGGGGCGGGGCCTCCCGGCGCGCCCTCGAGCGCTATTGGGAGCCGCCCGTCCGGGGGGTGGGGCCTGGCGGGAGGGGGCGGGGCGTTGCCGAGGCGACGCGAGCCGCGCCCGGCCCGAGCCGAATCTACACGAAGGGGACCCGAGCCCGGGTGAACGGACCCGAAGCGGATCCGAGCGCAGCGAGCCGAAAGGACCCGAGGCAGCGCCGGGCCCGAGCCGAAAGGACCCGAGCGGCGGCCGAGGCCGAGCCGAAAGGACCCGAGCGGCGGCCGAGCCCGAGCCGAAAGGACCCGAGCGGCGGCCGAGCCCGAGCCGAAAGGACCCGAGCCCGCGCCCCCTCAGAGGAGGCAGGTGAGGGAACGGCCTCTCTGGCCCCCCTACTCCCTAATTTGTTTTTTATTTTCGTATCCATTTCCCAGAGTGGAGTTACAAAAGCCCTGGCTCCCCMCTAAGCTCCTACCCAGCACCCCCTTGCTGCGTCTGTCACTTGCAGGGTATTTTTGCTCTCTTACMAAAAAAAACCCACCTATAGCGATAAAAAAAGCTCCAGCTCTTTTCTATTTCATTACAAAACGCAAAGGCCGAAGGATGGTTTCATACAACAACAGCAAAAGAAACAAACGAGCCTGTGGACTAGGAGCTAGCACCCCTTCCACAGACCAGAACTTCTCTAAGGCCAGAGTTCTTGCCTGGTGTTCAAATGGTTATTTATTTGAACAAGGTTACATTTCTTACGCCATGTGGAAGACAGTATTCGTTCCTCTAAAAAAGAAGAAGAAAAAGAAAAAGAAAACAARTAGGAGAACAGTTGTACACAGCCCCAGRAGCTAATGTAAAGCTGAATATTAAATCAATCGTTAATTGTCACCATCAACAACTGAAGGTTTCTGCTCTCCGCCTACCCCCTCAGCTTTATTTTCTCCACAGGAATGGGAGCCTGCTCTTTTCTTCTTTTTTGATACAGAGTATATGCTTTTAATCCAACTCAAACCAGGATCAGAAGGAAAAACAGACAGCAGTAAATGTAGGTAATATTATCAGAGTATGAGGAAGTTGCAGAACATGAACAACAACAGCATTTTTCCTAGCTCCAATGAATGTTCCATTTGCAGAAGCTCGATTTTGCCCTGTGAACTGAGGCAGATAAAAGCCCACAACTCCTTACAGTAGGAGGATGAGCCGGTTTTCTTTCTTTGTCTAAAAATGAGGCTAATAGTGTGTTACAGAGAGAGGGAGAGATGGGCTCTCTGGGAACACTCAGTAACTGCCAGGCCAACGATGCCATTCACTAAACAACCTAAATTTCAGCAGCTTGCTTGGGTTCCACATGGTTGTGCCCAGCTGGAGAGGCGTGTTGTTTCCAGCGGGAAGGAACTTTTCCCACAAAAGTTCTTATTTGTCATTCTAAAGATAAGATGGTAAGTTATTTTTGTTCTTTTTGTTTTTTTCTTAAACAGCATTTACATTCAAAATTATGTATATAAAAAAAMCAGTGCTAGGGAAAAAACGGCAGTTGAGAGCAAAGCAATTAAAACTGTTAAGGTCTGGGGGCTTCAGTTATTAAAACTTCTGCAAAGAACACAATTCTGGGTGCACTTGTGGCCCTAAGTGATCCCCCACTCAAAATCATCAGCTTTAAAACTTGGAAGTTTTGCCTAACACAAGAAAAAGCATTACAATGGCTTTAACTCTCAATTATTTGACTATTCTTCCATAGTTTTGTTGATCTACTCTGCAACAGATCCTTTAAACATCTGAAGGATTGTCTTTTGCTTATTTTTCGGTAACGAACAAATATCATTTGATTCATTGGTATTAACAACACAATTCAAAACTTTTCCGCCTTTGATGCTGGGCGATTTCATCCGGAGCCTGGTGGGGGACTGCCAGTTTTCATTGCAAGAACCTTTCCGAGCCTTGCGGTGATTTGTTTCAGGTTGTTTTTTGGGTAGCTTGGAGTCCTTTCCCCCCTTAAAACTTCCCTTTCTAACAAGAGAGTCTTTCATAGACTGAGATGTTTTGGTGCGAAGATGGTACTCGTCTGGAGAGCCCTTCCGTCGATTCAGCGTCCCTTCCTCCTTGTTGATCTGCCTTTGCAGCTGCAGAGCCAGAAGCCTGTCCTGCTCCTCTTGCACTCGCCTTTCATAGAGCTCCTGCTCAAAAGCTTTCTGCATTTGCATGTTAAAATCCTTTAACTGCTCCCCTTGGTCCTCTAAAGCTTCTGGAAAAGTTCTTCTCCTCTTGTCAAGCAAACCCAAGTCAACCACAGCTTCGGCCCGGGCTTCCCCCAGCTTTCTTTTTGGAGTCTCCTTAGGGTTTTCTTCTCTATCCTGTTGCTCTTGATACGCTTTTCCAGCCTCCTTAAGGAGACCATGAATCCCATTTCTGCTCTCAGACACCATGGAAACATCTGAAGCCAAGTTTTCAAGGTTTCTACTTTCCACACGCTCCAGACCACCACCACCATCCAACTCGAGCCCATCCATTTCTCTTCTCTTTGCTCCAGACCCTTTCTCTTTGGTGGCTTCACCAAGCGCATCTGGAACTTCACCCCCTGCAGGGCTTGGTCCTGGTGTTTTTTCCTGCTTGGCAGCAGGGAACTCCACCGAAGCCGAGGCGCTTAAGAAGCTCAGGCAGGATTCCAAGAACAAGTCCTTCCCGCTGCAATCCTTGGCCACGCTGGTCAGCTGGGGAGACAGTGTTGGCATTTCCTCTTGCTCATCTCGCCACGCGGAGGTGCCACTTTCGCCGCTATTGCTTTCCTGAAGAGACACAGCCCAATAAAATTAATTTATCAGAAAATGAGGGATACAAATAAAAGGCAAAATTCTTTTTTTTTTCTTTTTTTTTTTTTTTTGCTGCTTATTACTGCTCTGGGATATTAACTTGGATTCTGTTCCTTAAAGATACAGTTGTTAATAAACATTTTAAACAAGCTACAGAAAAGCCCTGCTTAAGAACTGGAAGAACTGCAACATTCTCTTCTCTTTTCCATGACTAACTACAGCAGGTATTAGCATCCCCCTTTTCTTTAAGGGCCAAAACAGTGGAGAACAAGGCATATCAAACCAGCCATAAGCTGCAGAACTAGAGGAAAAACCTCAGAGCAAAACTGCCTTTGAGCCTGTGATGACCCATGAAATGAGAAAACCCAGACCACCAGGATAAAACGTAGTTAACTGGAATCTCTGCTTAGGTATACAAGCTAACCATCTAAATAATCAGTAAGTTTGTGGCTGCTGCCTGTCAAACAAGGCCTCTTCCTTTTCCATTTTTGGCCACCACGAATACTGAAGATAGTTCAAAAAGGGAAAGATATTCCCAGGTTCTGATACACACTGTTGCATGGAAGGTGAAAAAAACCAAGTTACTATCACTGAAATTGATAAAAATAAAAACATTCTAGTTACCAGAGAGCAAGAGTCAGCTCTGCCTCTTTCTGTTCCTCTAGAGCATGATGTAGATCCCAATGCAGGATGAGACTTTGAAGACAGGTACCTTAAGGGAAAAAAGTATACCCATTAAAACACATTTTTCTTGAACTACAACCCCCGTTCATTAGGCAAGATATTTGCTCTGACACACAAAATCATCAGGAGCAAGGCAGTTATTTCTCTTGCCCTACATATTACCCTCCAAGGAAATATGTTAAAATATTAACATCAATCATTTCCACAGCTCACGTTTGCCCCAGATGATCTAGGGAAGGACTGCAAGATCCTAGTGAAGCAAATGGAGCACAGCTGCAGTCCACAAAGAAAGAGAACAATAATTGTAGAATAGAAACGTGGATCACTTACTTCTGAATGTCCCCAGAGCTGCTCGATTTGTTCTTCACTTTGCACATGTTAACGGGAGAGGTTTCAGATGAGAAAGTGCCTGCTGGTGAGGGACTGCTGGGCCCGCTTCCTCTAGGGTCTTCATTCTGCAAAAGTAAAAATAAACTTTTTATATTAAAAAGAAAGCAAGATACCAACCAGAAAATTTCTGTCATAAAATTGGTTACTATTGTCCAAGGCATTCATAAAACAGGAATTATTAGACAGTTTAAGTGTTACATGTTGCATACACTTTCGTATATCTTGTATTAAAAGACAAGGGATTAAAGACATCTTTCTCCATTTTCCCTCAATTTTAAAAATACTCATTTGGAAAAAAATATCAGTGTTGAAAAAGTTTTCACTCTGAAAGTTTCCAGAAGGATTTTCAAGTCCATATGAAACTTGGAATGTTTAGGGTAGTCCCCCCTTTTAACTGTTCCTTCAGAAAACTAATGATCACTCAAGGATTCAGAGTACTGAAGGCCAACAACAGCTTCTAACTACAATACAAAATCAGTTGAAACTACTCAAAATCTTGATTTTGGCTGAGGAGTCCAAGCTGTTTGCACTAAATGAACCTTTTCTAACATGACCCTTGATCCTAACTCACCAGACTGTTGCTCAGCTGCCAGGCCAGCTCTTCATCTTGCTTTAGTTGCTTCTCCAACTCCTTCCTCCTCTCTTCTGCTAACCTCTGCTCCTCCTCCTCTTCTGCTAGCAGTTTTTGAATGTATTCCTCACTTGCTTTATTCTCCTCTTGTTCGTGCGCCCGCCTTTCTGCTTCCACCTGAAAAAAAAAAACMAAMMAAAAAAACCAAACACTCACATATCTGATTACTCCTAAAGAACCAAACCTCACAGCAGAACCTCCCACATGACACTCTTTAAATACAAATGATCYGTTACTCACCAATACATACTGTGCACTTCAAGGTCAATATTTAACTACTAAACACTCCAAGCCTGCAGGAGCCTCTGCACAGCATCAATTTCATAACCTTTTTTTATTTGGGGAGGATTGGGAGAGGGGGAGCAGGCAGATGTTACAGTCTTAAACTGTTAACCTTACTACGGAGCAAGATGAAATGCATTTTCGTAAGTTAAGTAAGTAAGTGTTGCTAACCACAGTCAGCAACCTGCAGGTACATGGATGAAATTCAAATTAAGCTTCTTTAAGGACAGAAGAGAGCTAGACTGCAGTGGCTGCTCAGCCTGTTTATATATTCTTAACTCCAGATATTCACAAAGAAGCCTAGAAGATGGCGATGGTGCAGATCTCTTCCGTGCCCTTGTATTTTTCTTTGAATGTGCAAAATTCATAATAGTCTCCCAAGACTCTCTTTTGCTTGTCTGTTGTTACTGCTGACACTCAGTGATGGGCTGAAAATGGGCATTAAAATGCAAAATTCCCAATTTTTAGTGAAATGTACCATTGTTTTTCTTCCCATTCTAAGCGGTGAAGAGCAAAAAAATGCTAACTGCCTATAAAAATAAGTCCTTGTAAGAGAGAAATGTGCAATAGCTTTCACCATCAAGCATCAACAGTCGCAGCACTTTACAAGCTTTGTTATGTTTGACTTGGTTTAAAATTATATCCTTATAGCAGTCGCCTACTGGTACCTATTGATAACAACTGTCAACTATTTGATAAAAATAACTGATGCAAAATCCTTCAACTTTCAGAAAACATTCTTTAGACTCACCTTGCTAATCTCTGCTTCATATTCTTGTCTCAGTTCCCCGGGCTTGCTCAGCTGGTGTTGTGGCTGGGACACACAGACTTATGCAGAGAGGAAGAAAGGGAAATTAATGCCAAAATTATAGACAGATAGGTAGAGAGAATAGATAGGATCACATAATACTGCAAGTTTATCAAGTTTAGAAACAGACTACCAAAGACTAAAGAGAGACTAAGACTTACCCTCCCACAGAGCATTGATCACATTTCCTTCCTATTATCTCACATCTCCACTTTAGGCATCTTTGGAGATTCATGGATAGWCTGGGATTTGCAATCAGCTAATAAATGGGAGTATCTAAGACTTTTCACTGTCTCACGCTTTAGTGACGGAAAACAATTAAATAAAGCCTTCATACAACTTCAGCTGCACAATCCGTAAATAAATAGTGAACTACTGTCTTTGCCAAGGACAGCGAGCCATGTGCCAATATTTTGTGCAACAAAACAACAAACATCCACTTACAAAGAGATCAAACAACATAACCTACCCTCTCTRTAACAGAGAAGAAAAAGACACAAACATTTCTGTGCCTTTAAGTACCCTTTAAAAGAGCTCTAACGCTGTCTAGAATTTTCAATCCATAACCCAGCTGTTCAYGCATAGTTTATTTCACAACATCCAGAGTCCACTAATACTAACTACTTTTGAAGAAGCGACATTCCTCCTTACTTTCATCTTCCAAATCCTGTCCGTTAATCCTGCGCTCGCACTCCTTGGGGTATTTCTTCTGAATCCTCTCCCAGAGCTCCCAGTTGATGAGGGTGTTTCTGCGGGCGTTGTACCGGGCCCAGGAGGAGACCCGACGGCGACAGAACGGGCAGCACAGACTGGCCTTCTCCACCGTGAGCTGGAAGCAGGAGTTGCAGAGGCTGTGGTTGCACGGCAGCGTCACGGGCTCCACGAAGATCTCCATGCAGATTTGGCAGAGGCAGTCAGTTAAGGAAAGAGGAGCCTCCGATTTCTTCGCCATGCTGAGCAGTGGGATGAGGTTAATAATACGTCAGTGCCTGAAAATAAAAAGAAACGGCTGTTCCTTCCAGTAATAAATATAATGGAAAATGTTGGAATATATAATGGATGTTGGGATGCTTATTCCAAAATGTGGGAATTTATATAATGATATATAAAATATAAAGGAGAAGTGGAGCAAAAGGCACCCAATCTTCCAACATTTATTTTCTAGTACTTCAAATCTACGATCATATTTGTCAAATATTCTCATTTATTGCCTTAAGCTTTCCATGTAGTCAATTATTTAGTAAATGCCCATCCATCAAAAGCTGACTTGATGTCACCTTTTTCTAAAGGTGAAATACAGAATTGTCCTAGAAATAAACAGAGATTTTTCTTTAGAGAGACCCTTCTTCAAAAATTTACTTGATCAAACTGGAACTAAAGAATCTTTTTTTTATCTTGTTAATATAAGGAGAGAACTAGCCAATACATTCAATGCTTGAGGCTCTTCCACAGTGACTTGTAGGACTCAAACAGCAAGTTCTAACTTCACTGCTACCAGTTCCCCTCACAGGACTTTCCACTTGGCCCACAAATAGTGGCGAAAGAGAAAATATAAAGGCAGATGCTAAAACATCAAAAAAAAAAAAAAATTGTACAAACAACACAGTTCTTAAAGAGACCTTAAAAATGGCTATTCTCACAGAAATGCAGTAAYTTGAAATCAAAAATGCCTAGAAGATCTACACAGCAACTCATCACTGAACCATGGGACACCAAATCAGATTTTACTGGTTCTGCTACTCCTTCGTTAATAAAGCAATTTTTTTTTGCTTTAGAGATGTTAGACAGCACTGAAACATCCATTTTTTACAGGTAGTTTAGCTAAAGGGCCCAATATTTCCAGACTAAATCGTTTCAATTTCCACACAAATATGCCCACATGTATGCAGATGAGGAGAAAAGAAAAAAAAAAAAAAAAAAGGAGGAAAAAATGCCTGGGCAGGATAGATGGAAATGCTCAAGAGCTAGGGAAGGGAATCCAGGAAATGTGGGATATCACTCCAGGGCCCAGCACACAGGAGAGCAGCTTTGCCTTGAGGATTGTGGAGAAAACCAAAGGGTGACAAAGGCAAACTGGAACGAAAGCAGGTCAACCCCGCCAGAAGAGGAACTGGCATAGCAGACACAGTCTTAACAAAGGAATATTTTATAATATATATAAAAAAAACAGGACTGAGCTTAGGTATTTTTGTGAAAAGCAGAAAACGGGCGCAGGAGGACATTTGTAAGCAAAAATCTAAGGAAAACAATGAAGAATGAGGGAAYGAAGAGGGCAGAAAGGAGGTAAGAAGATTAATACGGGCAGGAGAAAGCAGTGCAGCAGCACAGCCAAATAAAGAAGCAGCTAAACCCCGTGTTACACAGTTATATTRTTCTACATTTTAAGCCCGGCGGACGTTACCTGCGGAGCCCCTGCTGCTGCTGCTTTATCCTCCCCCAGCCCCCGCCGCCTCGGGGCCGAGGTGAGAGCGGCGCCAGGCCGCGGCGCGGGCTCTCGCCTCCCCCGGACCCCTCTGCGCACGGGCCCGGCCGCCTCAGGAGCCGGAGGAGATGGCGAGGCCCGAACCTGCGACAACGACCACCACCACCGCCTCCATGGCGCAGCGCGGCCCGCCAAACGGCCGCCGACACCCCGCCCCCCCGCCGGCGACGCAGCCAATCAGCTGGCGCCGTCTCGGCGAGGAGGCGGGGCCATTTCCTAGAGGCGGCCACACCCCCCTACCTTCAGGCGGGAAGGGGCGAGAGGGGACTCGCCGGGGCAGTCTGCGCATGCGCAGGTGGGAGAAAAGGCTCCTCCTGTGCAGTCTGCGCATGCGCAGGTGGGAGTCCCAGCCCCTCCGGTGCAGTCTGCGCATGCGCATGTGGGAGAGAGGCTCTCTCCGATGCAGTCTGCGCAGGCGGGACACCGGCCTCTCCGGTGCAGTCTGCGCATGCGCAGACGGGAGTGGCGGTTACGGCGGTTGTAGCGGTTATGGCGGTTGTAGCGGTTGCGCAGGTTTCCCTCCCACCCCTCACAGCTGCAGGACTCCGCCGCTGGGGGGCGCGCTCTCGGCCCTCGCCCGTGCCCGCTCCTGGTCCACCGCCTTGACGGCGCGCAGCAGCCCGTCGCGCAGCCGCTCGTTCCGCACGGCCCTGCCGAGTGCGGCGGCCGCCGCCTCGCCAGGCC